GTGTGTGTTTGCATGTCTCGTCCCTCTGATTGTGAACAACTTCATAGGCAGCCCTGCACAACTGCATACATGAAAAACATTTATTTATTGTATATTTTTTGTCCCCTCTGCAGCAACCTGAGCAACAACAAGCTGAGGGACATCCGTGAAGGTGTGTTTGATGGAGCAGGTGGAGTTTTGGAGCTGCTGCTGACGGGGAACAAGCTGACCGGGCTGCAGGGACGCATGTTCAGAGGCCTCGGTGGCCTGAAAACCCTGTAAGTGTATTTTACAGTAGAGAGTGTGTGTATTTGTATTATTCATGCGGTGAGAGCTTAAATCTGTTCACACATTCACATCGTTGGGACTGTCCTCCAAAAGGGAGGTGAGGTATTGAATCATTAAATGTTAGTTGGAAGACTTAGTGTTGGGTCAGAAGGAGGTCAGGTTTAGCTTCATGCCAGGGTCACGTTGATGGAAGTGCTGGAAACACAACTGTGTGTGATTGTTTTTAGCACTATTTTTATGTGGCTGGTGATCTACTTTTTAAGAAAATTAGGTGCCATAACCACAACATAGGGTTACAAAAAGCACTGAGAGGAAAGCAACGAAGTGCACTGAAGCAAGATTAAATCTCTTAGTGAGATTTGGTCAAAATCTAAAGTGATTTCCATGAGTCAGACCGAAATAAACTTCATTACGTTAAAATGTATGAAGTTTACAGCTTAAGAGGTCTAACATTCAGCTGTTAGAAAGAAGCAGCTGCATGGAGAGGTACAGGGTGGTCAAATAAATAGATTCACTTACATGATTCACAATTTTCTGCCAGCATTCCTTTCTTGCATCATTTAACAGTGATTTTTATATTTTTTACCCCAGTAAATTTTTATGTTTTTCATAGCTCTCTATTATAACAACCCGTTCCTCTTGACTGAAGAACTTTTTTGCCTTTTGTGCAGAAGAAGAGTCAAATGATGCATCAAACGCCCACTTTAATGGGAGCGTGATCTGGTGAAGAAACCCAGAGTTTAAAAAGACAGTTGATAATCACTGTTGTTGCACCAGTTTGTCAGATCGGGGTTTTAGGTTTTGTCAAGCCGTCTTACGCAAAGAACCTGCTTTGTAGTACAACCCTTGGTGCATCAGTGCATAAATATCACAGCTATATCACCTCATATTGCCATGACAAATAAATGTAATAGTTCAACAGCAAACCATGTTGCAGACTGGTTCCACTTCTGATTTTATCCAGTTTGGTCGTCCTGTTTACTGTCTGGGCTACTTTTCCTGCACAAGTTCTGTCATGGTTGTCACTTGTAGCTGTAAAGACCTTCCATCAAGCAGGCTATGACTTGTGTTAGCATCTGGTTTATGGTGGACTTCATTAACTTTTTCTTCCCCACTCTGAAAGGAGAGGACCGGGATTGTTTACTCACTCACCCTGAAATCAAGGCTAATGACACCATATTGTTGCTGCTTTAATTTGGGCACCCACCATAAAGAGGCTGGTGCTCAATTAGGGGTTACAGGATAGTGTACGCAATCATGACTTAATGTTGTCTGTGTATGCTCAGTAATGACTAGCTAATGCTATCATGTATATATATGCCGGCTAATGACTCTCTAATGGTATCATGGCTGTCTCTGTATTATGTTAAGAGGCTCCCTGCTCCCGTAATAGCCTTGCTAACTAGGTTAGCCTGTCCCAGAGATTGCTAATGCTAACTAACTCACTTAGCCTGCTCCCATATGACTGCACGTCAAAAGCTAATGTCATATTGCTGGGTCTGTCACAGTCGTCCTGTGGGGACTGGTTTGAATTTACCCCAGCTCTCTGTTTTATTTTATGTCCAGGTGATGTTCTTTTATCTCTGTCTTTTGTTTCTTTTCATCTACCAGTATGTAGTTTTGTTGTTTTTTTTTTTTAGCTCAGGACAAAGTAAGACTGCCTGTCAAAAAGAGTTTTCCTCAAGTTAAAAAAAAAAAAAAGCAGAAGTTGAATTCCTTTGATTACTAATTTTACAGAAAATGAAAATATCCGTTATCAATATCTCCCATGCCCGCAGGGCAAAAAAACAAACAAACAAAAAAAAGGTGCTCTGTATGCGATAGATGTTTTGCTGCTTCCATGTTAATTGGTTTTCATACGTGTCCCTGATTGTATCTGCTCTGTGGAAACACAGCCTGCAGTTCAGCCCAGACTTCCCTCAATCTTTGTCCCATGACGGTTGGTTGCCAGTCAGTCACTAATGGCTTCCTGATTGTGCAGAGCAACACAGAATATTTTGTATTTTAAAGAGTCAGGTTGGTTTGTTTTCTACCATAAGGTCCTGTCACAGATGAGTCCTTCATGGACCTGTTGGAAAGTTGGAAAGCTGAGGATTTTTTATTTTTCTGTTTTTATATATGAAGGGTTAATTTACAAAAACAGATACCTCCATCCCACTTTTCCATCGTCTACCTGAGACAATATCAATCAGACTTAAGTTATCTCTATTTTTGTCATTTCTACTGAGTCAAATCCACTAAACTTTAATTTGACTGACTTTATCTCATGCAAACAACAGAAAAAAACAAGTTTTCTGAAAATCTACAAAAATGGAGTTATCTGGTTTTGCAAATGAACACTTCATATTAATTTTTTTTGTGATTTTTTCAGGAGAAAAATTTGCTGTCATCTGCTAAACATATTGCATTTGTGTTTCCAGCATGCTGCGGAGCAACCAGATCAGCTGCATTGACAACAGCACATTCACGGGTCTGAGCTCGGTGCGTCTGCTGTCGCTGTACGACAACAGGATCTCCAGTATCGCCCCAGGAGCCTTCTCCACCCTGCACTCCCTGTCCACCATGTGAGTCACATCCGCCTCAGTTTACCCCTGCTTTCTGTCCCTTATTCTCCTGTTTTGCTTTTTTTTCTTTTTCCATCCCATCGTTTGTTCTATCGCTCAGCACAATCTATCTATCTTCATATTTAGCAGGATCTTCCCTCTCGTTTGTCTGTGCTTCTTTCCTTATCTCTCACCCACTCTCTCTTTTTTCTCTCTGTCCCCTAATTTTTTAAAATCCCTGCTGTGAGTTTTTTTTTTTTTTTTTCACGCCCCAACATTTGCACACGTGTCGCTCTCTGGACACTTTTCTCCTCGCAGATGCTCTCCATCATTATCGACTAAAATGGACTGGATCCCAGGGCATTTGTTATCAAAGCAAATATATTTCAGCATCTGCACAGCCACACATGGGCAGACACAAGAGCATCTGCGAGCTTGTTTTTTATCTTCCCAAAGATGCAAACACCTACTGCGACAAAGGCATTGATTCTTGAGCGGCATATTTTGAGTCCGCACACGTGTTTGGTGTGTGTGTGTGTGTGTGTGTGTGTGTGTGTGTGTAGGGATGGGATGACTTGAGTTGAAGATGCTGATTGGTGCTCAGTCTCTGTGCAGAAGTGTAGAAAGAAAAAAAAAACAACTGCCATGTAGTAAAGTTATGACAAGTATTAACCTGCCACATAACATTATTGTTAGGAAGGAGAGAGTGAGCAGCAAAGGAGACGTGAATGTGTGTAGGTGTATGTGTTGTTTTTTTCTTCAATCACCTGGCCACCCAGATGTGAAGATTGTAAATAATAGATTTTATCAGCTCAATAAAACATTACAGGTTCATTCTTATATTTTTTTTTTTCTCAGAAGACAGACATGCCAAGCCCAGCAAGTCTCCCCACATCCACTCTGTTCTCTCTTTATTTTCCTCCATGCTTCCTTCCCTTGTTCTGCCTTTTGTTCTTGCTCCGTGTCCTGCTGTGTACCTGTCATCTTTGATTCAAGTTGCTACCTGAGTCTTTTGGGAGGAAAGGTGGGAGACAAGAAAGGGAAAACAGAGAAGGTAGAGGGAGGAGAGGAAAGACAGATGCATTCTTGCATAAACTCAGGTTTGCTCATTGGGGCTTTTAGTGATTATCACCACAAAAAAAAAATGGGCAGATATTATGTTTCGCTCAATCCTGCCATTTGTCACCAATCGTTCTTTTTTCGACATTAGTTTTTTTTTTTTGGCTTTGCAGTAACATTTGATGCTGTTTTCAAACATCTGCCTGCTGTCTGGCATGAAAGAAAGATGGATAGTTTTTATTTCTAGACCCTCTGTTCATCCCCCTATCTATCCTCTGGTTTTTTTTCTCTCTCTCCCTCCTATTATTTCTAATATCTGTCTCCATTCTTTGTGTTGTTTCCCAATAGACTTTGTCCATTTAATTAAAAGATTAACACATTGAAAAGGAAGGAAGGGATTTAGCTTAGGTTTGGTTGCCACGCAGTGAGGTCAATTCATTACAAGGAAATGAACAAATAACTTATCCCTATCTGTAGCAGCACGCCATTAATATTGCAGCCCAACATTTAGGTTTGTGGATGGAGTGGTACGCAGCTCCAGACACGACATGGAGGCACCACATCACCATTTAAAACGCAATTTACAATGTTTTTATGAACTACTTCTATGATTTTAACTGTCATAGTTTCTTGTCAGTGAAGGTAGAAACAAGGAGGGAAACCTTTTCTCAACGAACTTGTCATTGTTTTGTCATCCACAATCAGAAATCTGTTTTTCCTGCAGCTATTTTGAAAGTCATCCCCGAGCTGTGTTGAATGTAAAACGATGACAGTGAGCTGAGAACGTAACGGCTAATGTGCAACATAACAACGTTAGAATGCTATAAATTATAGAACTAAACATGAAAGTTTAACGTCTTTTATTATTTACTCTACAAAAATCCTTTTAAAAGAATGTAAAATGTAAAAAAATAAAATAAAAAATGCAAGTGTCCAATAGATATTCTGACTTACGTGGCTTCATGGTTGCACCGAACACTTTATAATGTTTTTTTTTTCTTTTCTTTTTTCTTCTTAAACGTAGATTTGATTAATTTTGTTTGTTTGTTTGTGTTTTATTATTGTTTTCAAATCGATTTTGATGATATGTGTAGTTTATTAGAGAAATTTAAAATCTAACCATTCTTTCTATTTTACAGTTTCTGGCTCTGACAAAGTAATTTTGACAATATAGACACCATACGTTTTAAACTCACCGAGTTTTACATGGTTGTATCTTTAATTTTGTGTTGTACGACTTTGTTAAACGTAATCAGACACAAATTTGAATGAAACTGAACTTCTATCCGATTAAATAAAGAATCGGGCTGCAACACAAAAACACTCTTGATATTTTTTGCCCATCTCGGCCTGAACGTGCCGCCAGATTTGAGACGCCCGGAGCAGCTTTAACTTCAGTTTACCGCCTGTCTCGTGTGTGCTGCTGATGCCTCCTCCCTCCCCTTATTCGGTTTAAATATGGCTCAGCATAAATATTACATGAGCTGTGTTACAAAAGCAACAAAATGCAGTGAGAGGTGATCAAAAATGAATAAAATGAGCAGATAACCTTTTCTCTTTTCTTTCTCCCTTTTGACAATTTTCCACTCTGCCATTTTTCTTCTTCAGTCTCCATCTCCCTTGTACTTTATAAAATGAATAAAAATAACTGATAACCTTTTCTCTGTCCCTTCCCCCCCGCCTCTCTTTGTCTTCCATCTAAATTTATTCAAGTGTATGACTGACCAAAAACAGTTGTGTCTGTGTTATTTGTATTGCACAGTATAGACCACACAAATTACTGCTATTATTATTATTACTCTGGATGTATTGTACAGTACAAATAGCTAATAATCCTCATTTTTGGTCTTGTTGTCTTGTGTTTTGTGTCAGCTACAGTCTAATTTGAGTTCCTACCTGTTAATCTGTGGTGTGTGTTGTCTTGATGAATGGAATCTATGCATCAGTATTTTACAGACATTTTTTTTAAAGATTTTTAATGTGAATCAGTTTGCCGTGATTCATTCATTACGCTGTGAAAATGGAAGTAATGGAATCACGATTGAGCAACATCTTTTGATGGAAAACTCCATTTTTCTTTTGTTTTCTTGACACTAATCCATGATGTTCTTCTGCCCCTCATCCTTTCCACAGCAACCTTCTGTCCAACCCGTATATGTGTGACTGTCACTTGGCCTGGCTGGGTCAGTGGCTGAAGAAGACCAGGGTGGTCAGTGGGAACCCTCGCTGCCAGAAGCCAGCCTTCCTCAAGGAGATTCCCATCCAGGACGTGGCCACCCCAGACTTCACTTGTGATGGTGAGTTTCTCTTTTTCTCTCTCTGCCATTACTGCAGGCTACAGATGTTGGAGTTTTCTCTCTCTCTCTCTCTGTGGCTCATAAAGCATGACTAAGTGAGAATTAAAACCATAAGTCTTGGTGTTATTCTGGGTCCACTACGCTACACAGTGCAGCCAGCATTTACAATTATACCGCGGTGTCAGGAAAACAAAAAGGTAACAGCCGTAAAACCTGAAACAAATGACATGTGTCAGTCAGCAGCCATGTGTCCTGTGCAGATAAGGGCATGAGTCAAGTTATTGAAAAGTAAATTAAATGTGTCCTTGCATCATGTTTACGCAAACCAATAACTGAATGCATTCTCTATTTTTCAAGAAAGAGTGTCCAGAGTAAATTTCCTCAAGGAAAATTGCTCTAGGTGGTAATAATGTCCAACAAGTCCTCAGTGAGACAGGAAGGTCGGTCATGGGAGGAAGGAAAATGACACTTTATATTCCTGGAATTAAGGTTTTTTGGATTTGTTTTTTCATAGCATAAGTTCATGAGCTAATGTTCTTTGTAATGTTACAACAGCATTGTCACAGTCAGTGCGCTAACTTCTATAAGACTAAATCTGCCAAAGAAAAAGAGCAGAGCAGCAGCTTTACTGCGTTGCGAATGCGACGTCCTCAGGTATGTCACGTCTTTTGGTTTGTGCAGGAAAAGACTTGTGGTCACAACAAATGTGGTCAGAGTTTAACAGCACTACCAGATATTCATCTCAAGAGCTTCCGTCATCTCAGGTCTTTAGCCAGCGGTAGACGCACACACATCCTCGGCAGGGTTTTGCGAGGACAGAATGATCGGTAACCACTGGCGAACAGCAGCCTCGGATGACATCAGCTTGTGGTTTGCACAGTGACGTTGCCGTTACCGCGACGCTGCCGGCCTATAGCGACTCAGGCCATCAGCTTGGCCGCCAACTTTGACGCCACAGACAAAGTGTGGTCTGGCTCTCCCGTCTGTTACATTTGTCTTTATTTTTCCCCGTTTTTCTTTTCTTTATAGCTTTATGGTTTAAACTATTTTCAATCTCCCGTTTGCTCTTTTTCTATCTCATTCTGACTCACTTTTCTCCTTAGGTTTTTTTTTTTAATTCATTACACTTTTCTAATTTCCTGTCGCTGTGCTGCAACCATTTGCCGAAAATGAGTTTGGAAAGTAGTTAGCCGGGTTGGTTCAAGTAAGGAAGATGGTATCAGATCTTGATGTTCATTCACACACACACAAAGTTTCTTTTCAAGTCACACAGCTACACAAGCATAAATTTAAAGTCAGCCTCATTTAAACCATTACACCCTTGCAGTGGTCACAAATGTCACATTTTAAGTTTATGCTGACCCTAGTTTATTATAAAGGTAATTAATGCAAACTCATCCCTGAAAGAACTGCAGTCATTTTGAAACTACAAAAAAACCCAACATTGAGGTATGTTAGTCGACCTTGAAAAACTACAGTTTGATTATAATGACTGTTTTTATTGCACACTTAGACTCAGGTGGTGGAAATCAAAAATCTACATCATCGCCAACATCAAATCGATTGTTTTTTTGGCTCAAGGCCCATCAGTTAACAAAGATTTGATGGTATCCTGCTGACAGTCAGCCAAACAATCTATGAAACACAACCTCCTGATGATGCTAAAATGTAAACACTCTGGCAATGTATGTTTTAAACTAATCCTCAAAAGAACAGAAGCAAAGGGACACACACACACATCCACACACACACTCACGTACAACCAAGGTCTCATGTCCAGTCTATTTATAGTTGAGTAAAATGGCTGTTAAGGTGTCCAGAGGCAGCCGGGGGAAAGGTAAAGTTAATTGAATTTGTGAGAAGATATTTAGCGCACATTTAGATGTTAGTTCAATCAGCCAACTGTAGAGTGAGTCAGCCCACGGCTACACCTCCCTGTGGACTCACAGGCTGCACACATCAGATTAGACACACACATATACACTTGCATACACTGCTCTACTCACGGGCACATAAGCGCCCATTTACTCGACATTTAGACATTAGCACAATTAGAAAACTACAAAGTGAATGAGAAAATGGCCATAGGACAGGGGGAGGGAGCCATTTAAAAGAAAACTAAATGTGCACTGAGCTCAGCGTGCACAAACACTTACGCTCATGCAAGTATTAAATCAGCACATCGAAACTCAGGCACAAACACACAACAAAGTGTCTGAATATTTGAGTATAAACTTGGCCTTTTCCCTTTCCTCTTCCTCTTTCTCATACACACAAAGTCCAACTGCAGTTGTGATGTTTGGCTTGGTGTCCAGTCTTCATTATCCTTCATTATGGCTTTCACTCAGCTTGTTTTACATTTGGGACCACAGTTCAGCTATTTACATTGTTTAATGCTAGATTGAAGCTCTGTGTGTGTGTGTGTGTGTGTGTGTGTGTGTGTGAGTTTGCGTGTCAATCAAGGAAATGGAAGCTGTTTTAAGCCAAGAACAACACCCTACTCTCATCTCTGATCCTTCTTATCTCTGTGATTACAATCGCTCTGATGTTTTTTCATCCCTACCGAGTGTTTGTGTGCATGTGAGGAAAGAACCTTCTGCAACATTACAACGTTTTGCTCCGTCTTATGTGACCAAATATGCTACGTGTCGATTTAAGCCTGTTGAGTCACATGTGAAGTGTTAGTCTACTCCTTCAAGATTCAAGACAAAGAATTTGTCATTAACAGGTTTACACTTTTATATATATGACCTCATACAATATAAACAAAATCACTCAAACAGTTGTGGACATTTTTTTTTTGACAGAATGCAAGTAGTAACAACTGACTATGTGTCAACTTTACTTCCGTTACTGTAATTACATGACTTTATAAAGTTGCTGCTGGCCGTCCGATCAGCATCTGCTCAGTGTTTTTCCAGAATCATCTGAGGAGTTTTAAAATCACAGTGACCTGCCTGCAGGTCCTGAGCCAGATGTTGAAACACACTGGCGCAGCTCGTTTTAGCAGCCTCTGGTCATTTGATATGGATTATAAAGTCCTCTTAAAAAGTGCTGAGCACAGAGTTGAATGGAATTGACCAAGTGCCACACTTATAGTTCTGGCTTTATCTCTATCCACCCCTTTCTCGCTCTCTCTCTCTTTGCTTTTTTTCTTTTTCTCTCCCTCTTCTGGCCTGAACTTTTTTCAATTTTTCTTTCTTCTGTCTGGATATTTTCTCCACCCTTTTCCTCTCTGTGTTGCTCTTTTCTCTCTGTCCTTGTCTTTAATCCCTTCCTTCGTTTTCCTTTTTTCTCTGCCTCTTTTTAATATCCCTTTCTCTCTGTCTCTCCAGGTGCTGAGGATAATGGTTGTCTTCCTGCGTCTGGTTGTCCTGACGTCTGCACGTGCTCAGACGGCGTGGTGCGATGCAGCAACAGAGGGCTGCACTCTCTGCCCAAGGGCATTCCCAAGGACACCACCGAGCTGTGAGTCAGGCGTGCGCGCTCTGTGGTCGCGCACGGACCAAACACCAGGGCGTGCGTGTTCAAACATACAGACACACTAAGATGACGAACGTACCGGCAGACCTGTACATGCACGTCAACGACAAATGGCCCTTTGTGTCACTGCATACGCTCCAATAACATGCAAAGTCACAACCTCGCACACACACAAACACACACACAGTCACACTTTGCTGCAGTGCAATATTGATGCAGCAGTTTGCCCTCTGCTGCTTCAGGAACCACCAGATCATTTAGCGAATACACACACACACACACACACACACATTCGCTTTCTTTCTTTCTTTCTGTGACTTCATGAGTTTATTGTCAAGTAAGTGTTAAGTGGCATACAGTTGTGTTTGTTAGGATGTTGATGTCATAAATCTATGAATCATCCCGAATATCTGAGTCTGTCTGCAGCCCGCACTGACTCATCATGCTGATAGAACACTAACAGTTGAGAGGGATTACTATGGCTGTCCTTGGGTTATTTTTCTAAAAACATCAGCAAAATTGATTTAAAGCTTATTTTCATTGTTGAAATACCAAAGATCCATTTACAAGCTTTGCCAGAACAGTGAAGATTTTTCAAGGTTCTGCCTGTAATGATCAAATTGTTACTGTTACACCCTAAAACCCGAAACCTTTGGTGATTTTTGAGGAGGGAATTTGCCCCCGAAAAGACAACCACAACCACAATCAGTCATTAAGAGTTCTACAACTGTAAGGCTAAAATGAACAACCTTGGGCTCTTTATGTAAGAGACACTTTTCAGAATTTTTTAAATCTAATAAATTCCTTTGTGCTCATCACCAGGCCACTGAGATTTGGAAAAACTCAGTCAAAAATTGATTTTTTGATTTAAAAAAAATTGTAACCTCTGCCTAATCAAAAATTGCAAATTGGAGAGTAAATAACATCCCTAAACTGAGCTACTAAGCAACATGTGCAGAATTATGCAACATAAATGAAGCCCGTCATAGTCCGACCAGGCAACATCTTTAACCTCTTTCTTTGCCAACTTTCAAAAAGTTATGGCAGATTGCATCTGATTGAAAAATAAATTGTAATAACAGCAATAACATCATCATGTATAATACAGCAACTACATACTGTCAATTGTGGTATATTTGTCATTAATTTCAAGCCAGTAGGAATCCTTGTAATAAAGAAAGAGGCCAATAAAGGAAATGTCTATAATGATAGTAATTGTTAGAATTGATGTAGGATAAAACAAGGGTAAAACAATGTTAATCAAGATTAGGAAATTTAGAACAAAGTAGGTACAAAATCTCTGGAGGTGTGGGTGAATTATTGCACACGCTGACACGCAGCCACACGCGCATACACAAACACACATAGGAACCCCTCTAGCTGTGAAATAGGCCTGCTCTACAGGGTCAATAGCAGTGATTAGGTATTGATCAAGCTGAAGAAGACACTCCATCATACTGTCTACATGACCTACTTATGACCTGAGAGAGAGAGAGAGAGAGGAACAGTGACCAATGGGTCATAAAGTATGTGTGTATGCGTGTCTTTTCGTATATGTATGATTGTTTCTTGCAAAGACCAGTGGGTGAACTTTACATGCATGTTTAACACATGAGCTCATTTTGGGGGAAAAGAAAACACTATAATGTCAATAATTAGATGAGAAAATAGATACTGCTTTCATGTCGGTGCATTGAGTTAGGAATTTGTGATTACTAAGTAGTTTAGTTTACCATAGAAGCTGAAAGTGGAAACAGCTAGCTTTACAATGCTCAGAAATATACTCAGCCACCTCTATAAAACTTCTAAAAGTCCAACTTTTAACACAAACCAACAAGGTCAAAATGGCAATGACAAATATGACCAGTGCAGTAACTTTCCAGAGTCCTGTGGTCACTGTCCTTAATCTCAGGGCTGGCAGTTCAATCACCAGCTTCTCCTGACCACATGTCTAAGTGTCCTTGGGCAAACCACTGAACCCTAGTTTGTTCCCAATGGTCAGACCATGGATGGATGGATGATGGGCAAACTCCACAATACTTTGAATGCAATATGCTAAACACAGAGACATAAGAGTCGTGTCTTCAAAAGCAAAATGTCAGACTATTCCTTTAATTATCACTGTTTCTTTTGGTGTTGATCACATTCACATCACACACCTGGATGCAAAAAAATAATAATAAAAAAACTTTTACCTTCCTTCTCATTTTTTATGTCCTCTCTCCTCCACACTCTTAATGTGACAGAAGTTGCAAAACCAAAACTTTGATGTGTGGTTTATTCACCCCCATACACCTATATTTGTGTGTGTAATACATACCATACTAACTATGCACATTTCCTTGCAGTTACCTGGAGGGTAATATGCTGACATCTGTGCCCAAGGAGTTGGCAGCCCTGAAGCAGCTGTCGCTGGTGTATGTACCACTCACATAACCTTGAGCAGAATATACATATGCCAAATCCTTGTGCAGCTTAGAAAACCAATACGGATGCATATGCAGTATGTTCTGTATGTGTGTGTATCCGTGTGCATTCACTGTATGTTCGTATCGACACAGGGACCTGAGCAACAACAGCATCAGCACCTTGGCCCCGTACACCTTCAGCAACATGACTCAGCTGGCCACACTGTAAGTTCCCATGGCAACACGCTCACCTAGGCATACATAAACATACGTCTGTCCAGAGCTTGATGTTATACACCAGTTGTTTGTGTGTATGAGGCTATCAGCCACCAGATAAATCAATGTTTTCTACTCTTAATTTTGATTAATCACCCTATGTTCTGTCCTCCCTCCTTCATCATATACCTGTTTATTCCTTTCTCTGCCATTTCTCATCTGTCTTCATCCTTGTTTACTTTCCATTTGAAGTCCCCCCTTCTAGCCTTTTAACTTCTATTGTCCTTTTATTCCCAAGTGTTTCCTCACCTCTGTCCACACTTCTTCTACACTCTGTCTATTATATTGTGTTTCCTGTCTTCCGAGTCCTTTTTTATTATTCTCAAAACATAAAACTCTCTGAACTTCAAGCACCCTCTGGGCGCCACTTTTGGATCCTGACCCTGTATGGAAACAGCACAAGGTCCAAAATGTCTTTTGTTAAAGTTACAGTGCCATAAATCCTCATAAAATAGGTATACTTTGGGATTATTTATTTTGCAAAACTTTGAAATGGTATTAACATGTACAACATTTTTTCAGGTGATCACAGGTTTCGCCGATATTGAAAACAAAAATGGTGGCTCTGCATTTAATAAATATTAATAGTTACAGTCTATATTTGCTGTCTCTGCTGCTCCATGTACACAGCCTGCAGTTCAGCCTAGTTCAGCCGAAGGTCTCCGAATTTTTGCCACATGAATATTTGTCACAGTTAAGTCACTAATGGCTTCATGGTCGCACCGAGCGCTGCAGAGTTTTCTCATTTTTACAAAATCTGTTTAGTTAGAATTTTTAAATGAGACATAAAAGTCATTTTGATGGAAAGTCATAATTTTAAGCTTCGTTTTTAACATAACATGCCTTTCAAATCAGCCAGGAGGTTTTGGGGTTCAGTTAGTTAACGTGTTAAATTGTATTTTAGCTCCTCTTCTCCAGAAACTCCTATCTTCTTTCTTCTCCTCTTTACGGCCATTTGGTCCAAGAAAATAATTCTCTTTTTCGCTGTCTTGAGTTTGTCTCCAGTGTGTAGCTTACACAGCGCATTACATGGCTTGTACATCAACTTACTGGATTTTGTGTGTCCAGACAAAGTTGACTGAGCACATTTGCTCTTTTCCAGCAACGCCCCGTTTTATATTTCACATAGTTATGCTGATTTACATCTGGGAGCTGCCCAGTGCAGCCACACATATCTACTGTCAGACCCAGATGGAATCAGTGGAACTCTTTGTGTTGGATATCTTGCCTGAGCACACCTTTCTAAGAGATGAAGGTGGAGATGGACACTTTCCATCTACGATTGTTCAGTAGTCGCGGTTGATTTATTACCTGTCAGGATCCTTTCTCAAACTTCTATGCCATTTGTGAACCTGAGGAGATGAGAACGTTTTTTTAGGCCTCCTGATTGGACGTTACATCGTACAGCATCAAGCTGAGAACCAGTGGTCTTGGCTACTTTCTTGGCTATTAGTTTCTTAAGTTCATTATCTGGGTCCATCCTAAATTAGGTTAAAATAGTAGCAGCACCCTGAAACAATCAACTTCATTATTTGACAAAGATCAGAATTCTGTCCTTAAGCTTTTGTCCCCTTCCATGTAATTCATTCCCAAACTTAACTTTGAGTTTATTAGTAAAAAAGAAAGAAAGAAAAAAAAGCTTTGGTTTGGGAATTTGACTTTCCAAAAACCTCAGCTTTGCCTCTGGCATTTTTTTCGTTCTTTTTTCCCCCCTCCTAATTTTTATTCTTCTTTTTAAATGTGCTTCCCTTGTTGACATTTCCTTGTTGGACCTGCAGTGGTTAAAGGTTCCTAAGTTTACAGCCAAACTTGCTGTGTCACCCCACGTGTCCTCCTTCTTCTTTGTGTCTTTATCCTTCATACATACATTTTTATGTAACCAGGGCTGTAGTCATAAAGACAAGAGCAAAGCATCTGAAATTAGTATGTCCAAGATAATGTCATTATAAAAAAGAAAACAAAACTGCATCCTGAGACAAAGATTAAACCTTGTGACCTTGTTTGTGTCCTTTGTGTTCCAGCATCCTGAGTTACAACCAGATCCGCTGCATCCCGGTCCATGCCTTCGACGGGCTCAAGTCACTTCGCCTGCTGTGAGTAGCAAGCTTCATCCTCAAGTGCCGCAGTGGATTCAATATTAAACACTCCCCTTTGCTAGTTATATTACTGAGCTAAATCAAAGTTTAATCACTCCCCTGATTTCAGGCCAAGTGCCATGTTAAGACCCAGTCGCAAAATGAGTCACAGTCATGCAATCATTTGTTGTTTCAGGGTACTAAAAGAGATAAAAGTGACAATCTCTCATTTCTTTAATACTCCCTCTCTGTCTGTACGCTCTGGTCTCTCTCTCTCTGTCTGTCTCCCCCTCTCCCTCCTCCATCCATCCTCTCCTCCTGTTCTCTCTCTCCGCCCAATGTTGTGTTTGATGAATCGACCTTCAGCCTCTGTTTCTCTCAGTCATCCATTTGGTTGTCCACCCTCTGTCTCACAAACCCACATGCATGCGCACACACAATGTGCATGTGGATATTCCTGTCTGACCGTCGCCTCAAACCACATACAAGCAGCTGCACACACGGATACATAACATATACAAACTACATATGAGCACATACGTACAGATTTACAGCTACAGCAGGATTCACTCGTTTCTTACACGTGTAGTTATTGCGGTCAATTTAACCGTGATACCTTGGTATATGAAAGAATCTTTGCATCTCCATTTCAGTATGATAGAGGTGAACAGTATAAAATCAGAAGAAAATGACAGAAGAAACTGTACAAAAAGAAAAAAAAAACATGTTTTAAGATTTGTATTATTGGGTAAGACGTTACCTTTAAGCACAGAAACAAGGCTGCTTTTATTTTTTGCTTTAACGAATAATATTTTGCAAGGGATTTTTACTTTCTTTGGTGTTTAAATGGTCTCACAGTGGTTCCAGCTGTTTTTTTGAGGGGGGTTCAATATCCAAAATGTTTACTTATAATGCCAATAGCAGTGTTGAGGCTACAACCTGTCTCAAGCAATTTACATTCCTATGCAGCTAAGAATTCTGATTTCCATTTTTAAAAGAACCTCTTTTTTCTCTCTAGAAGGTAAGACTATGGTACAGTCAGGAATTTGTCAAACTTTACAAAAGACAGTTTGGGAGGCGGAGGCATAAGTCTGCAACAGGATGTTTCACCCTGAAGGCAGCGGTTTACATCCCATGTTGGATCTATATTGCTAGACATTATTTTTTCTTTTTACATGCTGTTTGATGAAGTTTAGGCACCAAAGTTACTTGATTAGATTTAGGAAAATGTCGTTGTGTTGGTTTCAGATACAATACTTTAACATCATCAAGTTTTCAGGGTGCTGAGGCCTCATCTACTACAACTGATAGAAGTGACAACAAATCCTGAAATAAATTACAAAGACATGTTGATTGTTGTGACACATCACAAACAAACAAAAATCCCTCAAAACTTAATTGAAAATGCAGTTTAATAGTAAAGAAATGTAAGTTTGAGGAGACAGGGCTGGAGGCTGATAATCTTGGTAACACTAATGGCTCACAATTAAGAAAGATCTATTTGCAGAGTTTTCATTTACTGACTTTCAGCTTAAACTAGGATGCAGTAATGATTAGAGAAATAGGTGTTGTTAGTTTTGTAAGTTTTATTCTCTGCAGTTGTTTCTTCCTTAACTTTGGCCACCATTGTTTGTTCTGACAGAAAAAGTCAGTGTTTCACCCTCTGAGAAGTCTGCTTTGCTTTCGGCCCTTTTCTCCGAGCTGTATATTGACTGTATTTCTTGTGAGGCTTTCACCTTGCAGAAGTTTAGTGATCACTTTTTTTTTTTTTTTTTTATTCTTCCCTCCTTTCTTCCTTTCATTTTAGTTGATGTTGCCGTGGGGACTGATCCCTCTCTGCCCCCGCATAGCAACTGGTTGCCAGGCAGCCATCACTGTCACTTCCTCATTACCCACAACCCCCTCTGGGCCAGTTTTTGCGCGGGGGCTGTTAGACCACCATACGTAGATGCACACAAACATACACGGGGATGCACACAAAGCATTTAAAGGCATTAAGTAAAGACACAAGCACAAATCCGCGCACATGTACACTCACATGCACACGGGTACAAGCTGACCTGAACATGCACACACACACGCACACACACACGCACACACACACACGCACACACACACAGGCACACAGAGTTTTCCAATAGTGGTGGTTTGATAGCTGTCCCCTGCTACAGCCCTTCGCTCTAATGGAATGTGAACTTATATCCAGCAGGCACCACACTCAAATGGATCGACACAAAGGACACACACACTCTGAAGCCTGTGAGCCCTTAGAGACAAAACTTTCAGACACACATGCACGCACACACACGAACATGCATGAAAACCCAAAGGCACAAAGCATAAACACACACCCAATACACATCACAGCCTGCAGTTTGTTCACACACACACACACACACACATCACACTCTGCAGGCTGCTAGATGACCATATGAGACAGTTTCTATTCCATTCAGAGACCAGAACAAGCTTTATTGCCCGACAATGAAAATAAGCTTCCTGTTTATTTTGTGTTATACCGTCATAAATATTTTATTTATTTTCCATTATAGAAAGGGATGATGGTGTGTCTGCAGCTCAGGAACCAAAAATAAATTTAAATAATTTAGCATGCAGCTAGTCAGGGTTAGACTAGCGTATCAGCTCGCTCCAAATCCAGAATTAGACATTTCCATTTAGCTTTGATATGATGGAAACGATGCAGAAGGTTTCTCTGAGTAGACGCTGTACGTTTCGTCAATAGCGCGCTGTTCTCTGTGGGTAAGCTTTCAGGATTTCCGTTTAAATATGTAGACCAGTCGCCTAATACTAGTGGCTATGACAATATAAGCACAGTAGTAAGAGTAATAGGGGCAACATTATTCATTGTGTAGAGACATGGAGAAGGAATAAGTTGTAGCATCCCAGACTGGAGTCAAAAGCAGTCCCACATTGTTCTCCTCAAAATGAAAGCGTAATAATAAGGAAACACTTAATCAAATTAATTAACTACACAATAACATGAACAACGGGTCAAAAAGCGACTTTTTAAATTTGTAACAAGGCCACTGTCCTAATTCATATTCATGCACGCTCTTGTTCTGCTCTCGAATTCACCTCTGCAGGACTCTCCATGGAAACGACCTTTCGACCATCCCAGAAGGAGCGTTCAACCACCTGACCTCTCTCTCCCACCTGTAAGGACGGACCCATGTCTCTGTTTGTCTCTGTCGTACGTTCGCTCCTGAGTTTGTGTGTCTGAGTGTCTGACCGTCTACTGTGTTGCGTTTTTAATTGTGTCTAGGGCTCTCGGCGCAAACCCCCTGTACTGTAACTGTGACCTCCGCTGGCTTTCTCAGTGGGTCAAGGCCGGCTTTAAAGAGCCTGGTAAGAAATCAGTCCATATGCCTTTGAAGTACTTGTAATCTAAAATGTGATGTCGTTATTCATAAACATCTGATATTGTCCCAGGTCATGGTCATAATAGGAGCTTTGGTAAAAACACAGCTGGACCTCTCATCCAAGAGACTTCTTCAGTTCTAACTCAGAAGTCCAGTTGCTTTTCTTCTGAAGCTCCTAGGTTCTGGTATTGTGTGCAATAGAAATAGCAAAGTGCAGTATACTGGTTATTGATAAGTTGTGATTTTAGGCATTGCTCGTTGTACTGGACCTCCTGACATGGCTGACAGGCTGCTGCTCACCACACCACTCAACAGATTTCAGTGTAAAGGTAAGTACTCCCCTTCCGTTGTGCTTTCTTATATCCATACACATCGATTCTGACCTGTTTTAGCTCCGTCTGATCTTTAGATTTAGACCAGGAGACCGGGTGTAAATATTTCATCGCATCTTTTTAGGTTGTCCACCGTCTGCGCAATTTATTCCCCTTCCACTTCTCTGAGCTTTGGTTGTAGGCAGTCTGAAAGCCAATACTTAGATTTCTCCTCGGTTTCAGGGTTTTGGGTGAGAAGAGCTGCTGATTGGGTCACGTTTACATGATAATGTGCTTTGCAGATCAGTGGCTTCTGAGAAGATTTTGAGTTTTTGTCTTTCTGTTAAGATTCCCAGTCATCGAGGTCACTGTATTCGTAAATGCTAAAACAAAGGCAAAAGGAGAGTTCTTCACTTCTAACTGACTGGTGGCATTTAAGTTCTTGTGGGGTTCATTGCACCTTGAAAGACTTTCAGGTCACATGTGAGTCACCAGACCATCATGTGAGTCATTATTGTCTTTGAGGGACATGTGAGTCTCTCTGTTTGAGTGAGCTGTTTGGTAGGAATGATGGCTTTCAACATAATTATATTATTTTAAGTCAGCAAATGTAGTCCCCTTCAGACATGCAATTCTTTCCATTGTTCTGACAACATCTGACCATGTTGGTTTTGTGACTTAATGAGCCCCGTGTTCACCAATTCATGCTTTCCATATCGACGTGTCTGCAAGTGTCCACTTGGCAAAAATGTGTCCAAATCCACAGCGGTCCATGTGGACCTCTTTGTGGATGTCCACATGCTGCCCAACGTTGTGGCCACCTTGGACTGCTCATGTGCCAGGAAAACAAGTGCTGGTGCTCAAAGCAAAGGTTTGATGAGGCAGTGCAAGGAAATCCACACTTTTATAATTCATCGTTTAAAGAATTGTAGTTGAAGTAACCACTGCTGGTCTTTGGAGGAACTTTTATTGGTACATGCTTTCATTGATGACGCCTAAACACGGAGAGAAGTTCCACTCATGTGCCATGTCTGACCACTGTGCTTGGAACATCTAAAGAATAATCCCATTGACACAGTGTTTCAGCCCAATCTGTAACCTGCTGCTATATTTTGTTAAAAAAAAAAAGTTAAACTACAATCAGTCGTTCAGATACATTCACAGTAACCATGTGCATATTTTGACTATTGTAGTATAAATGGAACCGCAGGTGCATCTACTGTAAAAGTTGCTTAAATACGTCAAACAAATTTGACTGACAATCAAGCCTTTAGCATCCAGAATCACTTCGGTCAATACTACATTGTACAATTTTTTTGAAGAAGTTTGTCGATGTTCACAGAGATTTCTAAAAAGCACCCTTCCTCTCAGTTGTATTTCACTCATACAGAGGAGAGAACAGAAGCAGCAGAGCAGCTCCAGGGCTCCCCTGCTATCAGACCAGAGGGGGAAAGGGTTTAGAAGTGAACTTTTTACACACAGAAGACATCTTGCAGTGTTTTTCTGCCCAAAGAATAAGACATTGCATTGCATGAGCATTGTTTGCTGCGTGTCTGTGGTCGAAGAATTGTACAACAAGGTTTTCCAGATGAAAGTAAGATTATATAGTGGGATGTGACTCCTCTAGAGCTACAGAGGTACCTCGCATCATCACACTAAATCAGATCTGCTCTTCCTCTTGCTTCTGTGTGCCCTGGTCTCTGAAACAAATCACCTTTATTGCTCTCATAAGCACTTACTTTTCTTATGCGTAAGGCTTATTCTTAGCACAGCCCATTAAATGAGGTCTGTGGGGGTGCTTTTTAGCACAGGATGCCTAAATATGAATACATTTGCCTTCAATGCTTTTATTTTCTCCATTTCTGTCCTCTTATCGTCATCCATCCTTTCCCTCTCTTCTTTCTCTCATCTGCCTGTGTTTCTGTTATCTTTCGTAGGTCCGGTGGATATCAGCCTGATGTCGAAGTGCACCCCCTGCCTGGCAGCACCCTGCCAAAACAATGGTACCTGTGTGTCTGATGCTGTTGGATCTTACCGCTGCACCTGTCCATATGGATTCAAGGTGAGATACCAAACAGCAGCAGAGCGAGATGCTTTTAAGTTGAGTCGGGCTGCTGGATGTTACTCTCTAGGTTTAGCAAACTGTATGTTCTCAGCCTAGAAGCTAGAAAACATTTTAATGCATTGTAATCAGAGGGCACTGTAATGTGTAATTTGATTAGACTTTACTTGCATTTGATTAGACTGAAGCATTTTGAATGTGATTAATCAAAACACATTTTAGCAAGTGTAGAGGCAGTGGAAATCAGTCGTTACACTCGAGCCATGTTCCCCGCTTGTGTTACTGATTCCCTGCACCAGCTACCTTCACTGTCGGTTAACTGACCATTATTTCGGGATTCCTCTGTATTTTGAAGTTTCAGATTTATGGTGTCCAGCAGGCACAGCAGCAGCAGCAGAAAATGTTACTTGTGCTAGACTTGAGTTGTTTGTCTGGAAGGTATCCTCGATGGATAGCCATGCTGCATAAGCCTGTGGTATTAGCAGTATTATCAGGCTTAACTTTGGCCTTGTATGCATAATGTATCTACCTGTCCATCAATAGAGAAATGATGATTGCAGCTGGCTGCGCTGGAGGTGCCGATCAAAAGATGAAAGGCGGTCTATCTGTCAATGTACATACCCGTGCATTCAGAAAGACATGCAGATCTTCTACTGAAAGGGAAATTTACATGCGTGTGGGGAGTATACCGTATGTGATCAGGTGCATATGTTGAGGATGCATTTAACAACAATGTCATGAATACTTTTTTATGACTGTGGCTGTAAGTTTGGGGTCACACGGAAGCAGGAATCTAGAAGCCGTCTCCTGTGTCCGTTAAATTTGATTTCTACACAGCTAAGCTACATTTAGGGGAAATTAATCACGAATGCAGCTGTCGTCAGCATATCTTTGCCATTTATTTTATCGCTTCTACCGCTTTACTTCTATTATTTTCAACCAACCAGTCATTTATTAGATGGAACTTGAGATCTTGAGACTTTGAGAGAACCTAAAATATCTTTTGATAGGGTCATATTTTAAACCACACCACGATATTTTTAGAGACTTAACGAAGTAGCTTTGTTGCCTAAACCAAACCAAACAGCAAATTGAAGTTGCACACAGGATGCGAACCACAGTCTCTTGGGTGAAAGGCTCGTTGTCCCTGTCGTGTTTCAGGGAGACAATATGTTTCTTTCAAAAATTAGATTGCAGTTTAGTTGGAGCTGTAATTTTGTGAGACGGGGTCATAATGATGGATGACGACCTGAAAACCTACAATGCTGTGTGTGCACTCATAAGCTTAGCCTCCAGGTCTACATGTATTGAGATCATTGGGTTCAAGCTTCTGAAGGACATTTTGTGTGCATGCGCTTGTGTTTATTTATTTGTGTACCTGTCTATATGTGCGCGACTGTGTGTGAGGGCACTTTAAAGATACACTTCAGGCCTCATGAGAGCACACACCTCATAACCTTTGGGCTTTTACAGGAAGACAAAGCCGTAGTCTTGCTTTTAATTAAAACATTACTTGCCAAGGTCACAGACTGGGAAACAGGGACTTTTGGAGTGTGTGTGTGTGTGTGTCCGTGCATGGAGGTGTCTGTGTGTATGTTTTTCTTTCTGCGCTGGTGTCCACTGGGACAACGTTAATTAAAATGTGTAAAAGGAATCAAAGAAGGAGCAGCAAAGAACAAAAGAGGGAGAGAGAATAAGAAAGAGAGGGGGGGGGGAAGTCAGGAAAGGAGTTAGGGAAATTTAACTGCAGGAAACATAGTGAGAAAGGTGGAGGTAGGTAAAAGGAACGGGCGAGAAATGTAAAAAGAAAGGCAGAGGTGGTGGGAAAACAAATCTAAAAAATGCAAATAGTGGGAAAGATGGAGAGGTAGAATGAAAGAGAGCGAACTAAACACAAAGTGCCACGGTTAAAAAAAAAAAAAGAAAAGAAAAGAGGGAAGGAAATAATGAAGATGGATGGAGATCGAAAAACAAGAATAAACGTCTTCTTTTCGGCTTTGATCAGAGGAAGTGGGTGTGTTAGCGGCCAAAGGTTTGTTGGTTTGAAATTAAAACTACAGCCGCAGGGATGGATGTGGAGAGGCAGTGTGTGTGTGTGTGTGTGTGTGTGTGTGTAGGACTCTGATACATGATACAGTTAATAGTGAAAGCTGTTTATTCAGAAAACAGGTGTGCGGTGGGAAAAAGCAATGAATCAAAGAGGTAGATTTGTCGTATCTACATGTGTTTTATATATATATATATATATATATAAGTGTGCCTGCGTTATGTGCATTTGTGCTGCTCATAACTGTTAAGCCATTTGTGCAAGAGAGCGAGAGAAAACCAAAACAGTAAGAGCTCATTGTCAAAGTTGAGTGGCTGGTTAAGAAAGCTGCATTTTTTATTCGGCTACATCTAAATTTGATTTGTTCCGTCCTCTCTATCTTTCTGCAGACTATCTCCTTTCACTGCACCAAAAATATTTTAAAAATCTTCCGAAAAAGAAAAATGACAAGTACACAAAATCTGATAACCGTCTGAACTTTATGCAATAGAAAAAAAGGCCTATTTTGTTTTACTTTTTTGTAGAAAATCATCTGCAGATGACATTGTATGTCACCTTGTCAGTAGCTGGGTTTTATTTATTTATTTATTTTTATTTAAAATTCTAACAGTTGTGGTCAGTGTTTTGAAAAGATTGATTAAGCGTCTGTGAATAAAACATCAAATGGTTACAATACCTGTTTTAATACAGCTGAATATAATATCAGGTATAATCGGAGCTTTCATAAAGTTTTCTCTTACTGAGGGGAGTGAAAAGATGTTGATGGGGAAGCAGTTTGAATGCAACCTTGGGTAGTATCTGTACGAACAGTAATAGAATAAAGTATTCAGTTATTAACTTCTTTGCCTTGATGTGTCCTCTCCTCTCCTCCAGGGTCAAGACTGTGAAGTTCCCATCAACGCCTGTATTAGCTTTCCCTGTTCTAATGGAGGAACCTGCCACATCCAGCCGGGCCAAGAAGACCACTTCAGGTACAACGATGTCTCGTATTAACTGTCATATTAAAATTCTGAATGAAAAAGTGTGTCAATGAGAAAAGGATTCAGTTCGTGCGTGCCAGTTTCTCAGCAGTACTTTCTTCTTTACTTGAAACCGTTATTGGGATAATTGTAGAGTTGAGGTGTTGAATGTTGATGAGGGACGGAAGTAAAACGAGAAAGAGGGACTTCAGAGAACTCCTTTGCGAATCCATTTAGGCTGCGGGTCAAATCTCATTGCCCTTTCTACCCAGATGCCTCTTTCTATTAGCGGAGACATTTTCAAAACCTCACCCTGTATTCTCATCTAAAGGAAAAATTAACTTTACTCGGCCCCCAGAAATATAGACAGTGTGATTAGAGTGGACAGTCTTGCTTCACTGGACAATGCATTACCCAAGATAACAACTCACTCTGACCTTATGATGTGTTTTCCTGCCACTGTGTGTGTGTGTGTGTGTTGGTGAGGGGGGGTTAGACAGGAAGAGAAAGGAAATTTCAAAGTAGGAAACTCCATTCAGGTTGCTCATTAAATCCTTGTGCTCTTTCACTCACATCCTGAAATGCTCAAAGGAATGCCTTAAACTTCTGGCACTGTTCACATTTGTGCTTCCTCGCTAGTTTTGTGCAAAACGTGCTGCACAAATGACTCGGAGAAGCAAGTACGGTTTACCTGCATGTGAGATTTTTAAATGTTGTGACACATTTCTAAATATGAGGCATAATTTAATTTCAAGACAGTCGGGGGAAAAAAAAGGTAACGTAACAGCTTGCACCAATCTGTTTGAGTTATGACGACATCTAATGAAATTATGTTCAACCAAAATACAGTGAGTTGGAGGAAATTAGCAACTATTTAAGTTTGTTAATCAGAAAAAGAAAGTTGTTCTAAGTAGTATTTAGGTGTTATTTAAAGAGATTTGAAATGCTGTGTACTTCTTAACTATAATTATGAACATTTTGCGCAAATTTTTAAAAATAAAAAATGCTCCAGCTTAAAGTAGGTACAGCACGGGACTTCAAATCAAGGTAAAGAAAATAAATAAGTTATCAAGCCAATTTCATTAAGTGTAGTTTTAAATCACACATAGTATAAGACGATACATTTACCAACATTAGTATGTCAACCCAACCCTATAAAATAATGTTTTTAGCCTAAAAGGTCTATCTATATCAGTAAAGTATTGTTTTTATCTTGCAGGGATGTTTCTAGTTAAGTGGTGGGAATGGGTATCTTGAATTACTTTAAAGAAAGTTTCCTTTCAATGAGGCTATACATATAAACGTGTGAATGTTAAAGCTGTGTTTTGTTTATTGGACCAAGACACTGATTATACTTGAGTATTTGGCATTTTGATATGATTAGATTATGAAAGCCTATAATCCATAAAGTACTTAACCTCTCTATTCAACGATGTTCACCCAGAGAAATCATCCTGCACATGCTTCCTGTGTGCATTACATTCACACTGTTTCACACATTCACACCTGGGAGCTGCCCAACACAATCACAGTTTTGACTCCCGGCTTCGGAGCAGCTCCATTAGAGACACCGGGGGTCGAGAGCCTCTCAGCAGTAGTTGCTGAGGGAGCGAAGAGTGGAACATCACTCATTTGCTTTTACTACCCGTCTTTTCCCAGCTGATCCGGGATCTCAGACTAGCTTCTCTCACCTCTGGGTTGCTTCAGCGGTTTTGCTCAGTGTGGCAGCTTGAAATACTGTAAAATCTCTTGTGGAATTGTTTAAAAAAAGGCTTCAAATATTCTTGACCATGACCTAACGCTGTGTTTCCCCACCCCATGACTAATACCTTTTGGACTAAGGAGCTAAAGCAAGAAGTTCAATTTGGAAAGTGTGAATGGAGAAAATAGAAGTCCGACCGCAGACCAAAAATAATCAAAATGATCAGCAATTGTTTAGAAATGGAATAAATTAAAAGCAGACCATATGCAGTCAGGCTTTTTAATGTGGTGCATTTTTAGCAAAGCAGCCCTTTCACCATTAAGTTAAACCAAACCACATTAAATACACAATATTTTACACTTTTTAAAACTCTTTGAAGAACCAAGGAGGCAGCCTTGGTAGTTGTATTGCATATATTCAGGAAATTAATCTAAATTTTGTCTTTCTGTTAAAAAAAAAAACGAACTGCTCGATGTGTGTGTGTGTGCGTGGGTATCCTGCCGGGGTAATCAGTGTCGCTCCAAAAAAGTCCTCCTTTGTCCAAGGTTTGTGACAAATAGCATATGTAATTGAAACAATTGTCATAAATATCTTTCTACCAGATTTGTCTCTCCCTCGACCTCCTTAACAAGGCCTTTGCCCTTTGAAAGGCCTTGTTATGCGTCTGGCCTTTAGCGTCCTGTGTGGTAATGCTATTAGGGCTCTCTTTACCCTTTATAGATCTTCTCTTAATGGTAATACCAACACAGGTACATACTTGTGCCCTCTGAGAGAGACAGAGAAAGAGAGGGAGGAAGACAGAAAGAGAGGGAAACAGGCCCCCTTTGACATTTTAACATGTTACATAATCAGTTTGGGATATTCAATAAGTCCAATTAGCCTTGGTTCTTAGCAGGGACCCATTTGTCAAACTATATACTTTAAATGTCAAGACTGTGATTTGATTGGTGGAACAGTGCTCTCTGACCCTGGCAGTGCTCCTCTCATTTGTATTTCTGTGTTTAGTTTCTCACGGGAACTCTCATCCTTCTCCCTTCTGTCTTTCTTTCTTACTCACAGTGTTCTTTACTGATTCATCCTTTCTTCTTTCTTTGTTCCTTTCCGTTGCAGCAGATATTAGAGCAATGGCGACTTTAACTACAAAATTAAGTATAATTTAGAATGTTGTGACTCTGTTTTAATTAAATTGGAATTCTGGCTGCACTGAGGCCCGACTATTGAGCATCCACACCAACCAAGTTGCTTTCGAGACATTTTAGCCCATTGTGTTGTGGTGTAATCCAAATCTTGATTTTCATTTGTATTGGGTTTTTTTTTCTCTGTTATGCTGGATGATGGGTTGTAAGGTGGTGCAGTTGGTAGCACTGTTGCCTCGCAGCAAGAAGGTTGCCGGTTCGCGTCCCGGTGGGGGCACCAGAATCTTTCTGCGTGGAGTTTGCATGTTCTCCCCGTGCAGCGTGGGTTCTCTCCGGGTTCTCCGGCTTCCTCCCACACAGTCCAAAAACATGTTGAGGTTAACTGGTGATTCTAAATTGTCCGTAGGTGTGAATGTGAGTGTGCTTGGTTGTCTGTCTCTAAGTGTAGCCCTGTGATGGACTGGCGACCTGTCCAGGGTGTCCCCTGCCTTCGCCCTAAGTCAGCTGGGATAGACTCCAGCCCCCCGCGACCCTAGTGAGGATTAAGCGGTGTATAGAAAATGGAAAATGGAAATGCTGGATGATTAAATATCAAATCATGCTTTTCCTGTCCACAAGAGTACATGCAGTGTACATTTTGTCATCCACCCAATTGCGCAAAGTGTCCAAGCGCTAGCTGCACATATGCCAGGAAAACAAATGGTGCTTGTTACGACGAGCGACTGCACAAGGATGTTCTCAGTCGTTCACAGTTTATAATTCATTATTTTAGGAGCTGTAAATGAAGCAATCACTTCAAGACTTTGGAGCTGCTTTCCGTAAACGGTGCCCAAACACAGTGGGAAGTTCTAAATTCTCCAGAAATCCTGTGTTATGTCTACACACTGCGCTGGACACATCTGAGGAACAAGCATTGCCACCAGTCAATCTGTAGCTAGCTGCTACATCTCATAAAGTGTACAAAATCATAGCCACCCTTTCGGAAATCCGCTGGAGGCCTGTGTGGTTTTCTTTGTTCACTGCTGTGTTCAGAGGAATAGATGCATGCTGCAGTAAGAACAGCACCATGTGCAGATCCACTGTCCACTGTCTGCAGAAACCATGAACTGGCCTTAAAGGGGCCCATGTTTTTACTAAGATATAAGCCACAACAACTTAATGAGCTCATTGTTTCTCAGGTGCTGAGTATGTTTGGAGTCACTTTGCCTCCTACAGGTTTAAAAGAAAAACAGCTCAAAGCAGCTTTAAGTGACGGCAGACAGAAAGGGTGTGGGTTACTGCCGACTATCGTACATGGTGTGGGAAGAGAGAGAGAGTAAGATAACTGTTGGCATGAGAAAAAGTCTGCGAGGCACCAAAGTTAGATTAGAAACATCTGAGCGAGAGTGAAATGAAAGGAACGAAAAAGAACAAAACAAAACAGCAGAGCGAGTTGTACAGGTGCAGGAGAGTGGGAAGAACAAAGGGTCCTCCTGTGTCACAAGTAAGGGCGAGTGCGTGGGTTGATAATTGTCACTCGTGCCGAAGCAACCTTCCTCTCTCCTTACGTGTTCGGGTGACCTTGTTGTAAGACTCTTTTCATCCAATAAAAGCGACTCAAGTCAGCGATGTGGAGGAGTAACACAAGAAGAATAGAAAGTTGTTAGAGAGGGCAAAGTGCCGAACGCAGCTGGGATCAGATGTATTAAACTTTGAGTGTCTAAAGGTAGTCTTTCTGTTTGGGATGTGTTACAAGGAGTTAACCTGACAGAGATACAAAGGGTGGAAAAGGGGTAAGAGATCAAGGGCTGGTGAGAAAAAAAGGAGGGTGAAATGAAACTGAAGAGATGGAGGTGAAGAGGAGGACGCTTTGATAATTCCCTTTGAGTAGTCCAGGTGTTAGACAGTGGAAGGAATTTTGACTTCTGATATTTATTAATGAAACATTCCCCAACAGGAAAGACAGAGATGGCACATATCAAAGCGCTGCATTTAGAAAGGGAGAACTGATTCCCTCTAAATTTTAGTGCAGAAGAAGCTGGTCGGGACGGGTTAGTGTGCTGCTGCTGCTGCTGGAGCGGGTTTAAACTTTGAACAGCCATGTTAAAATTTCATCTCTGCTATAAAATGAGGCATGAAATGGTGTCTCTTGTTTGACCACTAAATATAGATATGCTGTGGCTCCAGTGGTGTGTAAGAACCAGCGCTGGATGGGAAGGAAACCCGCTAGAATACAGATTAAATTGTTTCTCTTTAAAGCTCCCTCTTATAGGAGAATTTAAGTGGAAGTGAAGCTGAGTAGCTGATTGATCTGGATGATTGATTTTATTTCAAGTTGTGCAGCAGGAGTGTATGCTCAGATCTGGCCTGCTCACCGTGTAATAATCTTGTGTGTGTGTGTGTGTGTAGCTGTGTGTGTCCGCCAGGGTTCGAGGGCCAGCGTTGTGAGATAAACCCAGATGACTGTGAAGACAATGACTGTGAGAACAACTCCACCTGCATCGACGGAGTCAACAACTACACCTGCGTCTGTCCGCCCAACTACACAGGTAAGCACACGCTCACACACACATACACACACACACACACACAGTGACTGTTTCTACACTCAAATATTCCTGAAACCATCAGTCTTTGCCCCTGAGAGACTGGGAGGGTCACCAAGTCCCTCCACCACTGCACACACACACACACGCAAAATCATATTTTCCACTTTACTGGATGGTAAGTTAGTAATGGACAGCCTCTCCGCAGTGACCTGAAACTGTTCCTGCAGGAGGTTTAAAGAGTAATCACACAGGAGAGAGAGAATGAGCGGGAGAGAGAGGGAGGATGACAGTGAAATGGCAGAGAGGGACTGTGTACTACAGGGAGAGGGGAAAATAAACAGAGCAAGGGAAAGGGTAAAGAAAGGGCCGATAAAGGGCAGAGAGACCTGCCATGGTGGAGTCCAGCAAGTTGAAGCTAAACTGCTGACTGTGAAGTTAAGTTTTTCTGTCTGTGACAGTGTCCTACACACACACACTCACACATTGGTTCCCCTTTGACACTGGATCTCAGTCAATAAACACTCACACAGAACTCGCACCGTGTCATTATCGTTGTTGGCATTGAGGATCCTCACACGCTGCCAGCCTCCCTACCACATGCAGCTGTTGCGCACACACACACACACAGCTGGTTCCTTTGGCTCTGAACTTCCTCTCAGCTCAGTGAACCGCAGCATAATCATCAGGTGTCACATTAAGAGGACAGTCCCTCGCTAGTTGCTCTGCTTTCTCCAAACTCAGCAACCAGGACTGTCACGTCACATTTACGCCAGAAAAAAGATCCCGATTTAATGTCACAAGACCTTTTAAAGAGCCGGTTTGAGGTTTCTGCCGTGTGTACAACAAATTAAATGTCAAGCTGTCTTTTGGTTTATGAGAAACATATATGTGCAATTTTGATCCATTTTTGGTGTCATGATGGGGACGGAATAAAGGTCAGGAAGTCACAATAACATTACACAGATATTCAAATGACATATCAAAAACGTCTCGTCATGCGTGTTAATTCCCATTGTGCCAAAAGGTCAGAGTAGGTGGAGCAAGACGCTTCTCCTCCGCTGTTATAATGCTCGAGATGTTGAGCCAAATCCTGAATGTGTCCCAGTTAGCACGTTAACATTATTTAACCACTCTCATGATCATTTTGTCGGAAAGAAAAACTAAATGACTGCAGCTTTTTTTGGCCTCTGGTCTGTTTTCATTAACACTGGCGTTATTGCCTTGGCAATCTGTTGCGGTGCTGTATGGCACAAGTCAGACGGAGGTCACTGATCCTGATACGCAAACTGACCTGCGGTGAAAAATGTCTCGCAGTGGAGAAAAATTTAAAGGCCACTGTTTAAATCACATCGAACATGTTTGTCTTCTTCAGTAACACACGATCTCATTTCCGTATGATGATTATTGTAAGGTAATTTGATAAATTAACTTTGGCATCTTTAACTAAGTGTCTGAAGTGTGAAATAGTCCACTTTGGAGGCTCTAAGACGGGACAATGTAAAGCTCCAGTGTGCAGGATTTAGCGACATCTAGTGGTGATGATGCAGATTGCAGCTAAATGAATACCTCTGGTGTTACCTTCTCTTATGTAGGGAAGCACACCAAAATAAAAAGCCTGTTATAGAGCTGGCGTTTGGCTTGTTTGTTCTGTTGAAACTCCGTGGACGAGAACCGCCCCTCTAAGTACAAATGGCTCATTCGAAGGTAACGAAAACATGACTGCTCTTATAGTCAGATGATTATGCATCAATACATCCATCCATCCATTTTCTATACACCGCTTAATCCTCACGAGGGTCGCAGGGGGGCTGGAGTCTATCCCAGCCGACTTAGGGCGAAGGCAGGGGACACCCTGGACAGGTCACCAGTCTGTCGCACACTTAGAGACAGACAACCAAGCACACTCACATTCACACCTACGGACAATTTAGAATCACCAATTAACCTCAACATGTTCTTGGACCTTGTGGGAGGAAGCCGGAGAACCTGGAGAGAACCCACGCTGCACGGGGAGAACATGCAAACTCCACACAGAAAGATCCCGGTGCCCTACATCAATACATAATTAGAAATATTTTATTCCATTACTTCCCATCAATCCCAATAAATTCTACGCACTGGACCTTTACGTTTACTCTCACGGCACACTTTTTGTAAATGTAGCTCAAAGAACTTTAGACGTCCCTTCCAGCAGATCCAGGAGCGTGCTGTAGCTCAGAACAACATGTGTCTAGAAGCGACTTGAGGAGAGGGTGTTGGAGACGGACAGGGTGGGAGTTAGGCAGCAGGATTAGATTAAAGCAGGCAGAGAACGATGGAAATGTGCTTGACCTTTCTCAATCCCCTCTTCCTTCTTATGACCGGCTTCAGCTACTGGCTTTTACACACACTGTTAACCCTTCTCACCCTTTGAGCATGTAAGTGTGTGTGTGTGTGTGTGTGTTTGTGTGTGTGTGTGTGTCTAGGTGTGTGTGTTTGTGTGTGTGTGTGTGTGTGTACCTTCAGACAGCCTCCACAGCCTATTAACCCTCTTCTCCATCAGCTCTGAGAAAAAGCTGATAACGCCATTCTCTGTGTGTCTGCGTGCATGAGGGCTTCCACTGCACATCTGAGGCCTTGAACAAGATACAAACACATAGAAATAATCTTTTTCCAGCCCTTGTTTTCTTTTTTCTTTTCTTTTCCACTATCATTTGAAGCTGCCAGAGAGTGCATGTGAAAAGGTTAGACTTGCCCTTCCCTCCCATCTGCTTTCTTCCTCCATTCTATCTTTCTATTACCCCCCCCCCC